TTCGAGTCCTATTCTTAGTCTTCTGTATTTTTGTCAGTTAACTTCTCTGCATTGTTCTGATGTCCTGATCTCATTTTCCAGAGACGACATGCACTTTTATCCTTTTTGATTTTATGTCCCAGCATTTCACAATCATATTAATTGTGGCGTATACTAATTCATTGGTTTCTCCCATACATTCTTCCAGTATTACAGTGGCAGTAGGAATTATTGCTACTACTACTCTATTCGCGTCTTCAAATGCATTGTCTAGTAATTCATTTCATTAAATCTCAGTTCTTAGTCTCGGTTAATTTCAGCCATTTTATTCATGATTTTTTGCCTTATGTTTACTGCACTACTTTGCAACGGGAATGTTGGAAAGCAATTTCCAACTTCCCAACTTGTTGGGTGCATATCCCTTTCTTCTTCCCTCATGGGTCTTGGGAAGGAAGCAGCTTCCTTCCTTTTTTCTTCGTTAAACTACTAGCTGCTTCTCAGTTGATGCGGATGTAAATCTCTTTTCCACCACAATCTTTCAAACATTTCATATAATCCCTTTCATCAGGTCTAGCGCATTCCATCAATTCCAGATTATTTTTTCTCGTCCAAATGAGATTTTTTCCAGTAGCCCTTTTGATGTTTTCCACAATACCCGGTACTGTTATAGTAGCCCAGATAGCCTTTGTTTTTCAGCATCTGACCTGGATCTTTAATTCTAGAAATGTCTGAACACGTATGATGGTCTTAATGCGCCATTCTCATATTTGTTGCAGTATAGATAACCTTTTAGAGAATCTTGCCTAAGAGCTTTCATCGGAAGGGTTGGCTGCAGCTTTATTCGCTGTATTTATTTTACATTCCATATTAGTCGTCAATTTTAGCCACTATGATGTACCCACCCTTAATATTTTAATATTTAAAAAAACCCTTTTCACACCCTCTGTTCGTGATGAGGCTCATACTCAACTTCGAGTCGTCTTGCAGAGGCCTATGATAAAATATTGAGAATTCTGTGCAATACTTTAGGTGTTCATAGCAGTGCGCACTTTTTGGACAGAGATCTCTGATGTAGTTGTTCCTGGAATCTGTTGAAGGTTACAATTCCTAATGCTCCAATTATCACTTGAACTACTTTGACCTTTACTTTCCACATCTTTGCTAGTTCCTCTTTCAATGCTTAGTGTTTCTCTAATTTCTCATATTCTTTCTTCCTAATGTTCCTGTTATTTGATGTTGCTATATCTTTCACCAGTGGTAATTTCTGATTCTTATCTACTAAAAAGAAATCTATTTGGTTAACTAATACTTATCTTCTGGGTGAAGAAATGGTGGATCTTGGCCTTATTATTTTACATGATTTTCGGAGGAACATTCTATTTCGTTTTGAGAAGTTATATACTGAGCAATAATAAGGCGAAGATTCTGAGCAGATATATAATATATATTTATATATATTTATATAATATATATTATATATTTAGAGGATATGAAACTTTATATTATATTTTATCAAGTTCAGTATTACCAAAATATTTTAATACAATTGTTTTCAAAAATATATTAAATATTTTTAGATTAAAAATATCGTATTTAAGAATAAAATTGACTGAAGATTCATTATTTGTAAACAAGTGTATGGGTGATCGGTATATTTTTCCTTCTGTTACTTCTCTTATCTATTCCTTATTACAGAATCATTTATTTCAATGATTTTTTTTTTACTTAGAAGATTGATAATTTTCTTTCGAGTGCCTATTAATAAATTAACAGAAAATTTCATCATGTCATATATCCATATAACTGGCCAAGCAATTATGCTGTGAGATGCTTCTGAGAGCTCTTTTTAGAAGGAAGATCGTTCATTATTTAGCTGTATAACTACTATTCTAAAGAAAAAGAAGTGCGATCGATTTAATTTCCTATTCCCCTATTTCCTATTTATTTTGTATATTTCACTGGCCTGTTCATGAAGTACAAAAAAAAATATGGCTAGCTAAATCAGCGTTAAGCGATTAAATCAAATAGTCTTAAAAGTTTTTAATAATAGTGAAACTCATACTTCTTCTTCTAAAAGCTCTCATCATTACTGGTTAGGCTGGCTCCGCTGGCTACAAGGGTAAGACGTCTCCAAATTCCTCGGTTCGACGCCATTGCTAGTAGTAATAGAAGCCATTCCTTTTTCCATCGTCTAAATCCATATAGCTCTGGTCCTCCAGTATGTTCAAAATCTTTCTAACTATCAGTGCAGGTCTTGATTAGTCCTCCTTGCTTTTCAACCTTAGGCGAAATTAGGCAATTAAAAATGGCCCAAATCACTCCATATGATGTCCTCTGAAGATTTGGCTTTAACATTTTAATGATAGGACATCGCTAAAATTGTCCATCTATCTATCATATCTGTTGGAGAACTTTGAAAATTTTAGGAGATAAGATTGTGCAATGTTAGGAGATAAGATTGTGCAATGTCTATAACACAATTATACTATGTTATTCATTTTTTGTTAAGTATTTAAATTTGTTTCAGAAATGTATGGAAGTTGTTCACACACGATACTGAACGATAATAGTAAAGATAACTGCTCCACTTTAGCAACGGAATCACACACCCAGTTAGTTTTTTATCTTCATTTTTTTAAATTCTGATCTTTTGTCGTATAGTTAGTGTACAAGCTCAAAACTACCACAAAAAACAATAATAGGAAATTATTATATATTTAATGAATACAAATTTGAAATGATAGAATATTTTGCTTCTTTGATTTTTCTTATTTTTTCTATTTTTTCTTATTTTACTCTACTCTATGATAATTGTTTTTCATTATTTTTTCATTATTTTCCTCACTTTAATAGTTACAATGACTTTTTCTTATTTTATTCTCCTTAACGGTGGCTTATTTTTCATCAGTAATTAGTATAACAATTACCCGAAAATATGCTACTAGCATTTAGATTTTGAACCAATTTTAATTTGGTTGTCGAGAGAAATATAACTTGCTTTCCTTAATAGGTGAAATGTGAAGTGTTTTAATATTAATTGCATATAAGTACACGATAATAATTATAGTTTATTTTTGGATTCAAATCTTTATTTATTGCAGAATTAATGAAATATGTCTGAAGATTTAACTGGAATGCAATAAAAAGAAATTCTCTGAACATGCTTCCTCTTTCCTAAGGTCAAATAGTTTCAAATTTGCTTGCATTAACACTTCCATCGCAAATCAAGCAGATTATTGTTTCTGAGAATAAAATTTGAAATCCTGAGATTAGATGAATTCCTATCTTTCAAAACCATTCTGCTTTTCGATCTTTAATTTTAATTGGCAACATAGGATTATATAAGATCACAAAAGCTAAGCAAAAATCAAAGAGATTTGGGGACTGCATTAGCTATAAAGGACTCATTTCTTCTTATAACAACATTACTGGTTAGGTTGGCTTCGCTGGCTACAAGGGAAAGACAACGAAATACGCGTCAGCTCATGTGCTGGACAAGGAAGAACGCGCCCTAACCAGGCATTCGAACAATTTTTCATGGCTCGCGAGCAGATCATATCTTTAAACCTTGAGCTCGGATTGCATACTTACCTTGTACTACCGAGTATCATAGGCGTCAGGTCAAGAAGACTTGACCCTTTCGCCACCATAAACATGGCAGATATGCAAAATCGAACTAGAAAGCAGTAATATTCGCGATCGCTGTCATTATAGGCAAAAAAATGTCATTTCAAGTGAAGAAAGCAATTAAACGATAGATATTGAATATATAGAAAATTTATTAGTTTGTAGACAGAAAAATTTAAGTCAATGCATCGAAATAATAGGCCATTATTGCTAAATTGATAGTTAATGTTTTTTGCCCAATCTCATTCATAGCTTTTGGCATTTTCTAAAATTTTTTCAAACTTCAAAACTGCATTTGATTGCTATATTTCGTTAATTTTGCACAGAATGTTGTTTCATTGTGGAAAATCTATAAAGACTATAATGGCCAATAGTTAAAGCACTTTTCCAATGTTCTGTCTTTTCATTTTATTTTAATACAAGAGTCTAAAATATCTAAGAGTCTAAAAAGAGTCTAAAATTTTATGATAATGCAGAAGTGACTGGCACACAATTTTTTTTGCCACGTACATCATGAAAAATTTTCAGCTATGGATATTAAGAAAAATTCAAAGTCATCATTTTTTTTCTTAAGACCTCATCAAAGTCATAATTTTTCTATGATTGGTTGATTTTTTTTTGCCTGTTTTTCGCACTTTTAAGCGATTTTTATTTTACTAATTTCATGAAATTTTTATTTTGCGTCGTCATGAATGAATAATTCAATTTGTCCATCATTTGAATATATAAAACTGAATAATTTTGAAGAAAAAATTCACTAAATGGTAGAAGATTTTTGAATTTCAATCAGTTTCAATGATTTCCAGTATGAATCCCTCCTTTTTCTGGTTAAAGAAAAATTATGAATATTGATTAAATTTAGTTGTTGTTAGAAGAACGAAAATTTGTGATAATTTGATAGTTACGAAGGGAATAGATAATCTGAAGACTGATTAATGTTGATCTTATCCACAAAAAAATGGCAAATTTTACTTGATTTATAAGCGAATAGGAGGTTATTTTTATTTTTTTACTTCAAAGATGTTTAATATTGTTGCAAATATAGTAGCGTTCGCTAATTGCTAACGCTGCTTTACGAAAAATTGTTATTTTATGAATTCGCAGTCCTCTCAGCATAATTTTAAATTTTTCCTTTTTTGTTAGTATTATTTTGCCATCAAAATTTCATTTTATCAAGATAAAGAGATTTAAGGTTGGTCAAGGAATCATTATTAAATAACAGTTCAAATTCGCTGTGGGGCAAAATGATTTCATTTGCACAAAATGGAATAACGAATTTCAACAGTGTATCTAATTCAATTTTCGCAGAAAACGATAGCCCACAAGACGATCAGGTTAGCGGCTATTTGATCCCATATGATGCTTCAACCTACAAATAACATATTTCTCTTATTAAATTTCAATATCTTTATCTCAAAACATCTGTTCCTGAATTTTTTAATCGCTTATTCGTATAAGTTTCCTACATAAAACTAATAGTATCACTTATAGCTTTGCACTATTCATAACTCGTAGCCTTAAAGCTGCCACTTGCAGAATCTTTTTTTTTTATCGCTTCTACAGGAAATTGATAAGCGATCAGTTCAACGCTATGAATCTTGTTCAGTCCAAAAGCAAGAACTTGGTTGCTTTCGAGGGACATTAACTTTTGCATTGCGATATGATTTTATTCATCGGGTTCTTATGGTTCATGTTGTAAAAGCTTGTCGTCTTCATTCTGATGTGATTTTTTTGATACATTCATTTAAAAAATTTTAAAAATTTTGATCCAACGTTTGCCTGTAAAAATATAAAGACTTAGAAGTTTTAAAATTTGTGTGGTTCAATCTTCAAAAATTGCTAAAGATTATCACTGGGTCCCAACTGGTCTCATACTGGCGGAAATGGCAGTCATTTCCATAGGAATAAAAGCGGAAGTGTGGAAATTCGCGTACAAAATTTCGCCCGAAAAGTTTTCGAAACTTTTGCTATGACTAATCAATTTGCAAATTTTCGAAAAAACTGGAATATTTATTTTGCTTTTAGATAAGATATTTAGATAGATATTTGCTTATATCATTTCCCCAGAAATATTTATTTATTGCTTTAAAGCGATTTGATGGGCGATTTCTCATTCATCAATAGTCGGAAACTTTAATGGAGGCTCCCATTTGCCATCAGAACCACACTTAAATTACAAAAAAAAAACATTTTAAAATAATTGGACTTTCGCAAAGTTTTTTCCTGGGCCACCAAAACTGAAATTTAAGACATAGCATATCAAAAGAAAAAAAATCACTTTAAATAAAAAATAGCCGAGCAGTTGTCGCATAGCTGTTTATCGAACCTCACAGTGTGGTTCCTCCCTCTGACAAGAAAAAACTTCAAATTAAAAAATCAGAACCAAACTTAAACTACTATTAGTATTAAGGGCCCATCTATCTGTCACCAAGTGACTTTCTAGCAAAATTGCTTCGTTCTACTAAAATTTCTTCTTTTAAGTCAAAACAAATTTGCTTCAAATAAAAGGATTTTTTTCACTCATTTCAAAATGCATCTGGAAATGCCTACAGAAACATTTTTCAGAATAACAAATTGTTGGAACCTTATATAAAAATGTATTTGCTACCTGAAAGGAGAAATCATTGCAAGACTAGAATCTGCAAAAAGACGACTGAGCCAGAATTTAATGAAATGTTTTCTTTCGATGTGGCCTTTATCAATCTTCAAAACAGAATGCTTCAGGTAAACTTTACATTTTTATTCATGCATTTATTTTTAAATTTTATCTTGGGCATTATTATTCAAAAAAATCGATCGTTTGTTGCTAACTAATGAACAAAGTAGAGAAAACACTCAATACTTGCTAATCAAACACCATGATATACGTTATCGGTACATTTCATTAGCACCAAGCCACTAGAAATAAGCCGAAATAGCAAATGATCTCTAATAACACAAATAATTTTTCTTTTGAATTATTCAAGTAAATTTCAAGTCTATTTTATTTTTTTGATTTTTTTTAGCAACGCTATTGATTTGCTAACTTATATTAGTTTGTATCTGAAGAAAGAAGCGTCAAACATATATTAGAGATGTATTAAAAGTTATTATTACTTTAAATACAGTGAAGCATAATTTAGTTTACTGTTTATGCCTTTGATCGATTTACTCGACACGATTTAATAGGAAATGTTATTCTACGAGATTTATTCGATAAATCCGATCTTACTGCATGGACTGAATATGTAATGCAAATTGTTGGTAATCAGGTTATAGTCTTATTTCATAGATATCTTTTTCACGATTCTTGCTAAATCTGTGATAATCACTCGAATGAGTGAAGTTATAATTTAAGAAATTCGCTAAGAGAATTTGACTATAAACATAAAATGAAAAAATAACCAGCTTAGCCGGCTATCTGCAAATGGCGTTTTTGTCATTTTTTGAAATTAAAATTTATGAGATATTCATTCAAAAACTTTGCATTTAAAAGTCTATCAAACTGCTGCAACGAAGATGATAAGTTATATGATTTGTTTAATGATTTTGCAGAAATAAATTATGATAATATATTTTAAAGCTTATTTGAACCAGAAATTATTTTCTTTATGTTTCATGGTAGCGTTCTCATTAATTTATCTCGTCTTTATTCAAGAAGTAAATGAAGATAAATAATTTATCCAAATCATAGAACCCATTTTAATTTTATCAACTTATTGCTCATATGGCATAAGATTTCATGTCGTTTCAAATTTATGCTGTCTTTAAAGCCAACTTTGTAAAGCAATGAAATAACTTTTTTTTATGTTTTCTCAAATGAGATTTTTTCAAAATTTAATCGTGGATTTCTGCATTTTGTTGGACAAATATAAAAAGTCTGCTTTCAAACTCAGAATTGACTTGCAATTATTTGCTCTATGAGTTTATAATATTTGCAGGGAAAGAATGATTATGGCGATTTATTACTGTATCTTTCATATTCTAACAAACTTCAAAAGTTGTATGTAAATGTTTCAAAAGCTTATAATTTAAGGCCAATGGATATAACTGGAGCTTCAGGTAGGTGGAAGATACTACACATCATTGAAATATACCCAGTGAGAGAAATATGCTTTACTCGGTTTTTTTTGATTTTAAATGCTCTGGTACGTATTGCATGGGTACGTATAATATATACCTATGTGCTCTCATATTTTTAATTTTCAAAGTAAATGCACTTTTCGAAGTTCGAGCATTGGGATTTTATGCTAAAAGGGTTAACGAAAAAAATTTCAATGAAACGTAGTAATTTAAATCCTATATATCATGAAAATTTTGAATTTGATATAAATATAAACAATATTAATGACACAAATATGTTAGCCAGCAAATCACGTTCAATTCAGTTGTCCTAAAACTGATGAATAATGTTCAGAATGCAGGCAGGGAAATTAATTGACTTGCTATAATTGCTTCTTCTTAATTATCACATAATACGATCATTATGTCTAAGCCATATTGCAGCATGGATTAGCTCCTGCTTGATATTTTATCATAGCCAGATTTTCCAAAGTGAAATTAATGCGTTTATTTTTTTTCAACACTATTAGAACATTAGTATAAAGCAATATTAATAAATATACGAATGAAAAAAAAAGAAAAAAATTAAAATAGTCAATCAAAACTGATTGCAAATATGTTTATCACTGATGATTCAGTTTAATTAATTTTATAAGCATAGCGTTAGTGAGAATTTAACTAAACTTAATGCTATGAACGAAAAACTTATGAGAATTCAGTGCGAGAAATTTTCTAATATCTCATTTACATCTTATACAGCTACAAAAAAAGTAAGCAAATTTTGCTTTATTCTGCAGATCCTTATGTGAAATTAGCACAAGTGTATTCGAATAAACGGGTCAAAGCAAAAAAAACTTCAATAAAACGTGCTAATTTAAATCCTGTATATCATGAAAATTTTGAATTTGATTTACCTGTAAGCAGTATTAATGACACAAACATGTTGATACAAGTTATGGATTGGGATCGGTTTGTGTTTCTTAAATTCAAACTTTGAATATGCATATATATATATATATATATATCTTGTATTATACATTTTGCTTAATTTCAAAAATTCATAAATTGAAGGCTTAGAGAGATAAAATGCTATTATTAAGAAGAAACTAAAAACTAAGGAAAGCAGAGAGACTGATCAGTTTTACCGAAAATCTCAAATATATTTGTCCAAGCTGAAGATCATCGATACTAATTTAGGCGTATTACTCACGCTAAATCAGCGAAAAAGTAATGAGTTTATTTTTTTCAGGATTGGCCGAAATGATTTACTTGGCTGTTGTATCATTGGTCCATCTAGTCCAACCGCTGAAGGTCGACAACATTGGGCAGAATGTTTTCAGAACAGGGAATTTGATGATTTTGATACATCGGTATCTTTTATTATATTAAGGACAAGCATCAATAACTCCAGTTTAAAGCTAAAAGATTTGAAAAGAAAAGATTCTTTCAAATAAAGAAAATAAAGAAAAAAAGAAGGTGGCAAAGAAAAAAGTTGATAACTCTAGCATAACAGTTTTAGAAATCGAAAGGCATAGGAAGATGGCACACACTTCTCGCGGAAGTCCCGGAAAATTTTCGTAATATAAGGAAAAAAGAAACAAACTTCAAGATCTGAAGAATAAATAAGTTCAGATACTCAGTGGATTCTTAACGACATTCATCGATTTATATTTAAAATAAAAATTTCTTTTTGCTGGAAAAATCTTAGGTAGTGTAGCATGCAAATTTCCATTGTACTACGAATTTCTTTTTAAGTGGTTAGCTTCGTGGTATAAGTATAAATGGACCGCTAGCACCAGTGGAAGTTCCTTAAGAAATATGAATGAATTGCTTAATTTTTTAACAAGCATTCCATTCCTGATAGCATTCAGTAGGAATTTGCTACAATAGATTGCATGGTCCACAGTAAAAAAATTTTCTTTTTCTGCATGCGGAACTCAATTTCATAAAAAAACATTTTGAATATGCTAAAATGCAAACATTGCTCTTTGCTTTGGCCAGATATTTAGCATTTCTCAATGTTTCATCACTGAAAATCATTCGATGTCTAACAAAATTTTTGAATGTTTCTGAATTCAAGGATTTAATGCCAAATTTCTTGAAATTTTCCATAGATTTTCCTACCAAATTGATGTTGTTGGTTTTTGTTGAAGATTGTAGTTCTTTTAGCTTGTTTTTAGAATTATTGGTTTCATCATTTATTGTTTATTTACTATTTTTTGCAATTTTTATTAAACAAATTTTCATCAAATAATGAAAATGCTGTTTGTTTATGAAAAAGTTTCTTATTACAATCGCAAAATTTTTGGCTAAACGCAAGAGAATAGGAGGAAAGTGAACATGAAAGCCTGATTTTCTCATTTATAGAGCTGAATTGTCTTCATATTCTCTAGTAAATTCATTAGAGAACAAAATATTCGCAAATCCATTTGAGCTTGCCACGAACTACAAGTTAATAATTAATTAGATTATTAACAAATTAATTATTAATAAATTAACCATAAGCAGATTGTAAACAAATTTTAGTGCTTAATAATGCAACAAATCTCCCCTATATTTTTTCTTCTAATTATAATGAAAGATTCGTAAAGATGAATTTTTATTTTGCTGGGAGATGCTGCTGATACAAAATTTGTAATTCTCATATCTCACAAATAAATTTACGATTCGGCTAATTCCGCTGGTTGTTAATGCTATTAAAAATTATATATGCCATAAAAATATAAGTGGGTGCTAACCCGGATTTTTTTAATACCTTATTACACTTTATAGGTTTACCCCTATCAGAGTCAGGAATTCAAGCTTTTGCTACTCGCAGATCGAACTAACTATACCACTCTGTAATCCCTATCTCGTCATTATTCTATTTGAATAAAACGATTTTAATTTAGAGAACTAAATCTCGAGGCTAGATTTTAATTCTTGATGACTTATGGCATCAACCTTCACGCGTGAAACAATTGCAAAAATTTACAAATTATGCAAAATGAGATGAATATGAATAAATTAAATAAAGGATGAATCTTTCACCGAAAATCCATTATTTTGCTGAAAATGGAAGAAAACTTGATTAATTAGTTTTGTTTTATAACAACCAATGGTTTCGTGCCTATATGTCAGCAAATGCAATTGCCATATTGGAAAACATTGGAAAGCTTTGAATGACATAAAAAGAAAATTCGATAAATGCCTCTTCTCTCGAAAAAGCTATTTATGATGAAAAATTACAAGGCTCTCCTGGAATATTTTGGTATCCTTTGTATTTTAATCTTGTATTATATATCCTTTATATTTATATCTTATTTATATTATATTATTTATATTAAGTTAAATAAGCTATTAAGAATTTAGTTAATCATACTTCTTTACTGTAATCATTTGAAGGTCCTGCTTGATCATTGTTCATAAGTTCGAGCTGTTCATCATTATACGATTTTTTTTTTGCCCAGTATACTGCAGTAGAGTGGCTAGTAGCTGTATGAAGCCTAAGAACTAATTTTAAAGCACTTGTAAAAGATTGAAAAGCATGGTAGATAAAATCCTTATCCTTTATAAGTCTTAAATATCAATAGAATGGCTTGCCATTCCTCAAAATCTAAAAATTGAAATTGGGGCATCACCTGTTGAAGTTGATATTCACTTTTTTACATCTTGTCATCAGTGCTAATGCAAATATCACGATGGATAATAAGATAAAAATGTTTGACGCAGAGATAAGTGCACCTAAAAAATTGGGGCAAAATGTTATCAAATGTTATCAAAATGGCAGTTCATATAAAATTTGGAAGAAGAACCACTGAAGAATGTGAATGCTAATATTTTCAGCAAGGAAAAAAAGAGAGGGGTTTGACTTATTAAGTTAAATAAGCTAATACATTTAATATATATAAATTAATATATATATATATTGTGAGTAAAATGGCTTAGTGGGTTGTTGCTCAATTCGAAGAACCGATATTGAGGTTCTTTTCCCCGCAGGAGTAAATCTGTCCAAGAATCCAGGTGATGCTGGCTACTCACCTGTACTCATATCGCAAAGAGAATCTATGGCATATTTGTCTTGTACGACAAGTCGATGATGAAGAGAGTCTAACCAGTAATGGTTTTTTTGTTGAAATAATAAAGAAGCAGTGCAAGCTAAGCCATAATTGCTCGTCATACATACATAATATATAAAATGAAAATGAAATTGTAATAAACCTAAAAAAAATCTTTTGCCGTTTGTATTGAGGTTACAAACGAATAAACAATTTCATCCAACTTTCATCTAGAACTTTATCGACTAATTAATATCACCAAATCATTATCTGTGATAGCTTAGGATCACACATAAATTTACCAATTTCAATCCATTAGTTCTCGTATTTAAATTTAAACTGAAACTATAATCCTCACCACACTTTAAATTATTTGACCAAACAAAGGCAAGCAAAAACCATATTTTGTTTAATTCTCCTAACTCTTAAATATCCTTAATTAATTATATAGGTCTATAAGTTTAGACTATTATGATTATAAGTTTAGGATATTATAATTTATGAATGATCGCATGCTATCAAGGATGCAAAAAATGCTTTTGCAAACCCTCTATTAATTTAATCGACTTGTTAAATCTTAATTCATTGTATTCTAGTCTCGCTCGAACAGAAAAAATATTTATTAATTTTTGATAAGGAAAAGGTTTAGATTTACAAATTTTTGAAGATTTTTTTATAACTAATCTTTTGTGAAACGACTATTCTATAAGTTATGAGCCAAGCAATCGGCATAAACATACCATATTTATTTCTCGCAATGGAATGAAATTCTTCGACATCAAAGACATGCAGTGGACTAGTTAAATCTAAACTTTTTTTGAAAGGTGAATCAATTGTATGATCCAAACAATCTCAAATATAAATTATGTAGTTCTCAGATTGCAGTTCGGACCATAAAATGCATTTCATGACAATATTTGTAGTTCAATAATAATATAATAATAAATTTAATAACAATGCAAAAAAATGTATTAAAAGTTAGATTCAGTATTTTTATAAGAAATTACCAAAAAAACTAAATAAAGGTAAAAGGGTTGTACCATAGTTCCTGCGAATGATTTTAATGATTTTTTGGGTGGTCTCGTAAATTGCGCTCTCATCGAACAAACCTTTTGCGCGATTGAGGACTACAATCTGAATTCGAACAATATTAATTAGGCCACTTTCATGGAATAGCGAATGACTAATTTAACTTTTCTTCACCAGCCCTGTATTAAAATTACTTTCATAAGTAATTTTATGATAAAGCATGAAAATTTTTCTTCATTTTGTTGTTATTCACCTCTTATTCACTGAAGATAGCTCTTTTCAGTCAGTTGATGCTTTTTAAGTGATAGTCCGATCTACGTTGAGATTAAATGATTTACCTGATAATGAGGAATGTGATCTTCATTGTCCGTTCGCAAAAAAGAAATGCTTAAGTTGAATTGTTTTACGAGATCATTATTTAGCTCGAAATTTCGAAGCACTAAGCGCATCTTATTAAAATCCACTGTTAAACTTTTAAAATTCACTAAGGAACCTAAAATAGCGAAAATTGTGAAATGGTTAATTCCAAATCAGAGAACAGCTGTTAAGACCAACTTATTAGACGTTTTTGAATGCTAAACGTTTGGTTTTAGAAACTATCTGATACACTGCGTATTTTGAACAAAATAAAACATCTTTAGGACTGTGGTAAAATTATCACTAAATTTCTGCTTGAAATATCGAGAAGACCTTACTAAAATTCAAAGACAATATTTTCATAAATAGATAATGCATCTTCATATTCATTTAATAATTGATTATCTTAAAAATATTGTATTTTTACTGAAAATTCGCATTGAAATGACTTAAAAAAGTACATAATATTAGTCAATTATATTCTCCATCGTTTTCTACTTCTTCCCATTTAGAAACCAGTCTCTCTATAAATAAAAACCGGATCTTATCAATGATTATTCGTAAAAGTGCAAATTCAACTTGAAGGCACTGTTGAATGTCGTTTAAAGAGTTGATTTTTTGCCGAAAAGAAAACCTTGTAATGAGGTGAATAAATAAATTCAAGATAAAATGTTTGGAACTCAAGCAGGATAGGACATGGCAAATAAGTTTCATCAGTTTGGGCTTTTACAACCTTCAATCCTTCCAGACAAAAATTTGTGTCCTTAAACTTTGTACGGTATTTTTATAGCATTCTCCATTTGCCACTAATAAAAAAAGTATTTGCCGGAAAAACATTTTGTTTTCTTTCATTTTTAGCAAGACAAAAAACCAATTTATTTATTACTTGCTTAACTGAATATATTTAATTTTTTTTTTAAAGACAAAAAATGTAGAATTTAAATATGAGGAGTTTGTTCATAATAATTTTGATTCATTGAAATATTCAACATGTTCCAGCGTCAAATGCATCGACATTCACTTCCCACATAAATGGTTGGCGCTCGCTATTTAATTAGCTCCATTAGTTTTCTGCAGTGGTAGAAGTACTAGTGCTAGAAACTACTGCCACTTGTCCTGGCCCTACGGGTGGATCGTCAGCATCGCCTGTTCTTTCGCAAAAAATTTGAAAGACGTACCACAAATATTGCAGCAGTGACCCACTGGTTTAATCGTGTTGTCGCAAACGTTGTCATTTCGCACTGTACAAGTTTCATACTTGCATATTGCAGCCATTACCTTCAAACTATGAAAAAATATCAAAGAAATTAATGACTTAGCAATAAATTGGACGATTTAACGAACTTTTCGAAGTAATAATATTTGCTTTTATTAAAGTTAAAATTCTAAACTTCTTGAAAAAAGAAAAATGCTCAAATTATTTTACATTGTACTCCAAATTTTTATTAAATTGGCCAGCTAAGTTGTCATAGGCAGGTGAATCATCGAATAATTTGACTAGCGATTTTGGTGATTCATTTGATCGGTCGTGTTCGGAATTATATTCTATGCCAAGCAGAAACTGGAATCGCATTTCAACTGTATTCAGTAAATGATCAAACGATTTGGCACTAAAATTCTAAAAAAGTTTATATCAGATGAAACTCAGGAAGCAAAAAGCATTTCTATTTGCAGTGTTTGCTTGATCGTTATTGCTGCTAAACAGCGAATGCAAAGTGCTATTATAGTATAAAACTGAAAACAGGATTTGAACCATCAGTTTGCAATTAAGATCAATCGATCAATCAAAGACTAATTGATGAAGGACTGGTTGAAAAGGCATTTTTCAACCAGTTCAGTGCATACAATATAACGAATCAGCAAAAGGGATTCAAATATTATAAAAACGATGAACATCGCATCAAATATTTGCAACCAACTGTCACGTGTTTCATCGATTTTCAATTGATAGAGCGGTGCTTTGGAGGATGATGGAACACGACGGTTCCAGAGAGTGTTCCAGAGAGGATCATTCGACTCATAAAGGCATTTTATGAGCGTACGTCGGCAAAATCTGTGCATATGGGGAACAGATTCCTTCGAAATAAGAACTGGCGTCCGTCAAGGTTCTGTCTAATAGACACCGCTTGTCGGCATTCAAGAGGTGTCCAAATCAGTCCAGAGTGTCCTATTACAGACCTTGAATATACTGATGATGTAGTCCTTTTTGCTGACAGTTATGACGAAATACAAATAATGCTAAATAACGTGCCAGTGACTGCAACGAGAATCGGACTCAAGTCAGCGTACATAAAACGAAAGCCTTTTCGTCTTATCTGCAAGAAGCTGATAAAATGCCTCTTTTTATAAATTCATTGCCGGTTGAGGAAGTGCGCGATTTTAAATACTTTGGATCCACTCTAATACCAAATGGCCAGACAAAAGACGATATTATAACCCGGATCACGGCAGCTAGAAATGGTTCTTCCTGTTGATAAAACCTTTATAGAGCCGTTGCGAAATCAACATGAAAACGAAAGGCCGCATCTATATAGACCTGATTCTTTCGATCTTGCTATATGGCCAATGAGAATTGAGGATATTAAGAAATTATCAACCTTTGACCACTCTTGCCTAAGTATATTTTAATGGCGGGTCGAGAGGATAAAATATCTCAGATCGCATCCACCTTCAGATACCACTTGCCTTAATAATGTTATCACAGAGCGTCGCGTTCGCAAGTTAGGGCACGTTCTTCCTCATCCACCACAGGAGTTGACGTATATTTCGTTATTGCTAAGCCCTATGACGGATGAAGCCCTATGACGCATCAAAAACGAGGTGGGCCAATCAAGACCTGGACTGAAAGGGTCAGAAAAGATTTTAAACATATAGATGGGCCAACAATATATGGAATTAGACGATGGAAAAAGGAATGGTTTTTATTACTGTTGACGATGGCATCAGACCACACCACTTGGAAGCATCTTGCCCTTATAGCTGCTGGAGCCAGCCTAACCAGTAATGATAAGAGCTGTTAGAATAATAAGGAGAAAACGATGGCACCCATAAAGGAAACTAGACAAATGCTAATGTGAATGCTAATGCTAATGTAATTATGAAAGAAAAAAGTTCACATACAGCTCAATGAAAGAAAACCAACTAGGTGGAACCCAAAGGAGTGGACGACCATAAAAGTGGCTTTTTGAATTCGCCGTTTGGCCAGACATCTTTCCTTATCTTATTTTGGAAGCCAGATAAAATAAAATGAATATGTTCTTAGGCCATTTTTGTAAAATAATGGATATTAATATAGCTAACTTGGTTTGAGAATTCTAAGGATTTGATTGATCCACTAGTCTCGACAAGCATTTGGCCAGCATTGTCAGCATCCATAACAGCAATATCCTAAAAATCAAAGATAAGCCATGAAATACATATTTAATATAAGTCAAAATGACAAGAAGTATCCACATTCTTAGAGAGTTTTTATGTCCCTTGACATGACTTTGTTCTAAAGCGACCCGATTTTCTGGTACCTCATTCGACGGTATTCGTGCTGCATGTAAAACTGGATTATTTTGTCCCATTGGGGGCAACCACCAATTGGATCCATTGAAAAAACTTCTCGGACCAGTGTCAACAAAATAAACATCTGAAACTGTCAAAGCAGTGTCAGAAAATAAGAGTGAAACTTGCAATTTGAACGACTAAGTGGATATTTCTTTTTTTTCTAAGAAATATTTCTGTTGTAGCTGGCTCTACTTATTATGAACGAAAGAAATTTCCAAACCATCTGATGCCATGCGTGAAATTAATTAAATAAACCATTCTTTTTTTCTATTTTCTCATTCTTTTTTCTATCGTCTAAGCCGCCCTTCCTCCCCCCTCCCCCCTAAATTGAGAGGTCATTCATGCGTTCAAAATTTTTTCCGCCATTTCAACTCTTTATTTTCCTCACTTTTGAGATCATGACTATTCCTTTAATGGATTACGAACATTGCAGAGATGCTTTGTGGTGATTTAAATTTAGATGGTAATCGTGTGAAGACGGATGTGAAAACATTTGAGAGTCTGTCCACTTGTTGAGTTTGTAGGATGTACTTTAGGAGAAGTGACCGGAAGTAAGCAGCTTCCTGGTGATATCTTCCACTCCAATTACTTGATTTCATGGGGATCGTGCATTTTACAACTCATATTATTCTCAACCTTATCAGCGCTCGGCATTACTGATTGAGCTGATTCCACTTTCATCAAAGAATCTCATGCGAATATTGTTTACAAGTGCTATTCCCGCCACCGTCCGAATTCAACTACTTTTGTCAGAGAGAACAGAATGGAAATGATCGCACGCATGGAAAGGACGAAAAGATCTGTGAGTTTATGGAATTATAATTAGGGCCTTTGAAATCTATGCTCTGGCAGCTTTTTTGGGGCGATTGAACTACTTCATCCGACACCCAACACTGTCCAAACCATAACCGTTTATCAGTGGATTTACCTGCGATGATTGGTTGTGTTCTAGAGCAGATTTATTCGACCTTCAGAGGGTAACGGCTTTAATGGGTCCAGTAGTCCTCGTTCCAAAGCTGCCAGTGATATTAAAGCTTTTAAGGTACTTTAATAGGTCGGAGTTTGTTTCCTTTCCATAAAGCTTTTAATTTTCTATATATTTTGGAATACACTGTTTGTACACCTCATCAGTTTAATTCGAACTTTGGTTTTCAAGCCATAATATGGTTTGGACAGTGTATTTTATCAATTTCGGATCTTATATGAGAGGCTATCTAATAAAGAACTTTTTAGCGATAACTGGCTAAATGTGGTCAGTCTGATTCGAATGTTGATGAATTGAAGAGTTTCATGCTAAATTTTTCATCTTCTGCATGGGTTTTAATAGAATTAAGCATTTGAGTTATCTCATTTCTTCTGTGGTGCTAAAAAAAAGCAGAAAGCAAAATGCCTATACTCCTCCAAAAAACACTGGGAAGCGCCCTTCATTAGTACACTGGCCCCAACACCATGCCTACCAGTTACCAAAAATAAACCGTTTTTGGAGAAAGATGCTGCTAGAAGATTGGTGTCTGCATAGATTCTCTCCTTACCAAGATCATTTACACAATAAAATACAAATATTTACACCAAGACATCGTAGAACCTGCTTTTAAAACGAGCGTAAGCCATTCGATCGTTGATGATATTCCATAATATTTGTTCTAATAGCTCTCATCATTACTGGTTTGGTTGGCTGTGCTGGTTGTAAGGTTAAGACCTATCCAAATTGTTCGCCATCGCTAACAGTAATAGAAGCGATTCCTTTTTTCCACTATTAGAGTAATCGGCCTACCTACACGTCAAAATCTTTCCTGACTATATCAGTCTGGATCTTAATTGGCCCATCTTGCTTTTGATGCCAGCAGTCACTGGGTTTAGCAAGTGACCCAATATGCGTCAACTCCTGTGGTGAGTGGCGAAATACTTAACCAGTAAACACCACGTTATGAGATGGTACTGTGAATACAAATAGAGTGAAGATGGATGCAATCACTTGGGATTTTATCGGCTCATCGAATAGCCCCTAAAATATATTTTAAACATGAGTGGTCAAAGGCAGATAATTTCTTAACATCCTCCACTTTCATTGGTTCTCGCAGCCATATAGCAAGATTGAGCGAACAGTTATATAAGTGCGAACTTTCGTTTTTATAGTGATTTCGCTGCGAGTCATAAAGCTAACCGGGAGTCATTTCTACCTATCTGACTTGTAATTTGTTCTTTTGGTTGGCCGCTTGGGATTAGAATTAATGTGCAAAGTATTTAAAATCCAGCACTTCTTCAAGCGGCAATGAATTTATAAAAAGAGGCATTTTATCAGCTTCTTGCACATAAAACGAAAATATTTTCGTTTTATTTACATTGACGAAAGATCTCTGGAGCGTTATATTCCATCATTTTTGAAAGCGCTGCTCTTGAATCAAAAGCAAAATCAATGAAACAAGTAACAGTGGGCGCGATGCTCCAATACCCTTCTTAACGTGAAAATCCGATCAGCACATAAGTCTGTATTCTGGTCTAAATGAGCTTAGTTAAGGCACAACGTGTTCGTATTGTTATACGTCTATTCAGCAGATGGGAAACAAAAACTTTTGCTGACACGTCTAGTATGTTGATTCTTCTATAATTGCCACAATATGCCTTGCAAACTTAGGAATTTTGAGCAGAATTACTTTGCTCCAATTATCTGGTATTACTTTCTTCTTTTATACCAGAGAATGCATTTGCTGAAGGTATGTTATGAAGGACGATGATCAGCGTTTGAAGAATTCAGCTCGAAGACCGTCTTCTTCCGGTGTTTTATTGGCTTAAAGCTTATGGATGACAGAGATTATTTCTTATTCTTCTGGCGCTTCACAGTTGCAAATATATGGCTTGAGCAATTCAAGATGAGCAATTCTATAAACTATATTGAGCTATATCGAGAATAATTTTGGCATCAAAGAATTCCTTCTGCCTTATGAAATGATCTTTCATGGCTTTAACAGGCACACCAGCACTATATCATTTTACTGATCGTTCCTCGGGTTATAGTTGCCTTTGAAGGCTGACTTCCAAGTTTCCTATTGCTTCGTTGCAATTCTTCGAAGCATCCGACATTCAGCACAATAGGTGGACAAAATTCAAATTCAAATATTAGCTTTGAAAATTTGATTGGACTTAAAAAAATTACCTTGGCGTTCGACTTTCTGCGAACACTGCCATGTACCTTTGGAACCAATAATGGCATTATTTGCTAGAAAAAAGATTCCATTTTTTGGAAAATCAATCGAACTGACAGCTAGCGAATTACTTAATATTGTTACGACAGTTCTTCGTTCATTGAAAAAAATTCGATCATTTTCACATGGAATCGTATCGCGCCAATTTTTTATATTTTCTATATTATTTGTCTGCCGAAAATAGTAGGTAAAGCAGTAATAAGTGTTAAATATGTTGCTGGACAAAAATAAAAAAATTAAATACATCTGAAACAGAAATCGTCTTAGAAAAACATCGTCTTATATAATTCTGCAAAACTTTGCAGATTATCATTGCCACATAAGTGGAGAGATGACTTTTTGCAACTTGAATCATCAGTGAAATATAAGGGTTTAGCGCTCATTATTTCTGGCTCATTGGCTGTAAGAATCGGAAATTTTAACCAGGGAATTACTTTCGACAAAAAGTTTAATTTCTTATACTTTAAATGATAGGTTGCTCATCGCTGGCAAGAGTGGAACCCTTAGCGTTCAATATGAATTTGAACCACTATCATGTTCCTAATTTAATGAAGTGCGAGATACAGTAGAGTAATTACTAGCCAAAAAATGTTTCCACAGTTCTATTTTCAATAAATCCTTAAGACCGCATTTGAAATACTGGAAAACTCTCTTAATATGAAATTTTTTTCAAACAATAATTTAATCAAATAAAGAACTCCTTTGAGTTCTAAAAACATATCTTTCTTTATACGCCATTCTTCAGTCCATTCACAAAACAATTTCGAAGTAAAAAACAAGCTCATAAACCGGACCAAACTATTTTGTGTTTTACTCATTTATGTATTCTGATTTAATGTATTCTGATTTCCGAAATTATTATTTTCGTTAGAATTGCCCCTGTAAAGTTGATTTCACTTCCAATCCTGATTTTTGACTTTGACTAACCGCAAGTAGTTTTAAGTTCGCTGCTCGGTGAATTGTCCTACAAAGGCAATGCCAATATTTGATTCTTTCTGTGATTTTTCCACTTTTTACTGTTGCAGTTCATCTGTTTTGCCGATTTAATCAAATAACCACATCATTTAATCGCCATACTTGAATGCAAAAGGAAAAAAAAAATATGAAATAGGTTGATATTAGTGGGATTCCACAGATTCTTGAAATATAATGGGATAAAGTGGTAAATAAATTAAGTATAACAAATTAGGTTTGATTCGATTATTAATTATCTTCTGCTACTATTTCGAAATAAATTCCTCAGCAAACTGGAAGAAAAAATATTTTTCCCTTAATCTTTCACATAACTCTTACCTCTTTCAAAGTTATAATAGTGTAACTGAGAAAATAATAAGAACTAATACAATAAGTGCGTGAAACACAGGACAAATCCAGGAATTATACATTTTAAAACTTTTTCCGCTTAAAAAATGATATATTTTCTCTTAAAGTTTGGTACATTAAATTTTATTGAATTTTAATTTTATTGAATTTCTAAAATAATTATCAAAATCTTTGTCCTGAATAAGGATTTAATTCGTCCAAAAATCATCCTCGACATGAAAAATTAAACTCTTTAATATCATCAGATACCATCAGTTGAGCGAATCATACCAGTTTTTAGTAGCGATAATTAAGAAGAGTAATAATTTGGATGCAGCAATGCATGAAGAAAATATGAAAAAAAAGAAACTGGAGAAACGTTTTAGAGTCGTTTTAGAAACGTTTAAACGTTTAGCAAAAGAATCCCTAATACCTTAGAAAAAATAGAAAATTGAATTCTCATAAAGAAGATTTCCTTTTATCCATCTCATCTCTTTTCTTTTTCTAATATTGAAAAAATTCCAAAAATTTTAGGAAATAATGCTTCGACTGAATTTTTCCATTAAATTTATGTATGTTGACTAGTTCACTATGAGATATAAAATTCCCATTTTCCAATTTTCTTAAGCAACAGTTCAAACAAAGTCTCACTACGAAAAGAAAACACAAGCTTATCCCGGGAAAAAAAAAATTTTTCGTTACCAAAGAGCAAATAGGAAATTAAAATGAAAAAAAAACGAAAAATTAAACGAAAAGATTTAATCATCATTGAATGGTTCCAAGATATGCCACTGAGCAACTGATCTTCGAGGGGTGGCTAACATATCATTCCACTGCTTTAATGCAACACCACTCGCATTGTGCCCAATAATTACTTGCCCGATTCGTTCATTAGAACCGACTCTGTCGTAATCCGATACTGTTATTTGTAAATGAACGCGCTGAAAACTTTATAAACAATTTTATATGCACAGATTTTCACGAAAACCTTATTAAATGATAATTTACACGGAAGAAAATTGAAGAAAGCATCTTGATCATTGATAAACATCATGTTCCTTAATAAAATCCTACTTTTTCAATACTTTATAATAATCTTTATCATGTTTTTTTTTCCATGTGTTTGCATTAATTAATTCAATAGTTTGAAAAAAATTGCAAACACCGATATCTTCTTGATTATATCTCCCATTAAAAATAAAATCCAGATAATGTATGAAAACCATCTACATTTTCATCTCTAAATGACTTCTTGGCAAAACACCTGATAATGATAAGTAAAGCCATCAAAAGGCAAGCACTGATAACAAAAGCGAAGCCTCTGAAACATTTAAAATGGAAATGGTAGGAATCGTAGAAATAGAAGAAAAAGCAAGCGCTGACAACAAAAACGAGGTTTTTAGGATTAATTAAGATGGAGATGTTAGGAAATATGAAAAAATAAAAATGAAGTTAAATAGTTATTAATTTTCGTAGCAATAAATTCTTAAAAAATAACTATTTTGCACCTTGCTTGTTTTTCCTTATTTTCATTACCAAGACGTCACAATATCCATATATATGCTGTCAAAGAATAAGCAAAACTAATATTTTTGATGGCAATTACCTGCACTTTTTCGGGACTAACATCAAAACTGAATGACTCATTATAATAGGGATTAAGTGTTTTCATCTTTATTGTTGTTTTTTTCTTTTCCAACCGCTTGTTTTGCATCATAAGGTAAATTTTCACGTAGGGATCTGCAAGAAATACAAAAAATATCATTAAAAAAGGAACTATTTTAATGGGGCTTACTTTATGACGATTTATTTAGCTACTGTAATGGTTAATGTTCACGTTTCCAGCATTCTATAATTTTTCTAAACATTAGAGATGAAATTTCAGCATTCCATTACAAATTAATGAAAGCGAACACGTTAAGTGTAAGTTAGTGATTGGCGCTAATATTGCTAATTGTTATGCTTGCTTTGCTGGCTATTAGTATGGTGAGAAATTTTTACCGGAAAGTCACTTGGCGATGAAAGCAAATCATCATAATTTAGTCTGAGTCGAAAATTCCTTAAACGGATATTTTTTTGGTGATAGTCTTACCAACTTTTTGATAATGATAATGAACTGAAGAACCACCTGAAAGTCCCAGAACATCCATCTTTTTGAGGTTCTTACATTCCATAACCACAACCGTTAATTTGTTTTTATTTGGAACATACCGCAACGCTAAACATACTTCTCCCAACCTGTTTTCCTATAAAAATCTGAATGAAGGTCCAATATTTCAATTTAAAAGCATTCATTTTATCTGTTAGACTTTAACTTCCTTGCTGATTTAATCGAAAGTAATTTTTCTATAACAATTACCTTATAATTCTTTCAAAGATTCAATCAAACATCAAACAAAAATTGAGCAAATGAATACAAATAGGCCACGAAAATAATGATCTCTATTTTTATTTATGACGATTAAAAATTCCTCAGTTTAAAGTTTAAAATTTTATCGATGTAAGTTAGAGCAATTATACAGTTTAAGCGATCTTATTCAAGCTGCAAACCTAATTCAGATATATTATTTCAAAAAATATATATTTAAAATATATACCGGTGGCGATTCAATGAGGTCGCAGCGCTCTATCGTTGCCGCCAAATCAACTTTTCCCAAAGGTATTGAAATTTGACCAATCTTCAAATTTAATTCTAATTGGACTGGTTTCATTTTTGAGTTCATTATTCAGTTTATAGTTAATTATTTAAAAGTCATACAAATACAACATGAATTGTAATTTTCTTTGCAAAAAATATAAAAAAATTGAGAAAATTTTTAATCATAAATTTTTAAGTTTATCTTTAGAAGGCTAAGTTAAATTACTGATGGACTATGAAATTCGATGGCATCTCCATTAATTCATCGAAAAATCCAATAAAAACTACTACTATTGAAAAATTTCTAGAATGAATTTGTATGCTTAAAGCCATTAAATTGCGGATACGATCGAAGCTTGCAATTATTTTTTAAATTACCTGGTCATGTTTGCCAAATCGATCAAAATCGAAAACATTTAGGATCAAAGTTTGTCCACTGATTTCATTATAAGGGACCTAAAAATCATTGATTTACAACTGATGCAAATCTTCAGTTAGTTTTGAACGCATTGTTCTAAATGAACATGTAATACTTGGCGATACATTCAAAAATATCTCTGTAGCCCATTGTGCTATGACCCCATGAACGGCCAAACTATTGGGAAATCACTGAATTTTTTATAAAAAATAAGAGGAATTCCAAAATTACATTATGCGAATAGGAGACTTACAACTTACAAGACTACAAACTTAATCAATTTGCCGATTATTTTAAAAAGTTAGAAATCCATTATGCAAAATAACCTTGAAAATGAAGGTCTCGTTAAAGACTGGATTAAGTGATTTTCGTTGGACTTTGGTTTGGAACTTTTTCTTTTTGTCAGGCATAAGGAAAAGTTTCACATAAGGGTCAGATGTACCACCGAGATCCATTGCAGGAAGATCTTCTGCTTGTATAATGGCTACAGATAGCTGTAAGAAATGAAACTAAAGAACTGAAAAAGGCACTAAAATGGGATCAATCTACTTTTGATTCAGCGAGAAAAAAAAATTAAGAAAAGATTTTATTGGATTGAAATACAATATAAGCAGCTAATAAGTATTTTACAGTAAATTAATATTTGATAGATCAACATGCAGATCTGGTGAAATGAACTGCAGAACTACAGTTAACCACGCATAATCAATATTCCGAATCAAATCCAAAGATAATTCAAGTAAAAATTTTTTAAAATATATTTTACACCGCCCATAAGTAGAATTATTCATCCCAAAGCCCATCCCGTATTAACATGAATATTTTTTAAGAATTACATTTATTACATTTTTCAAAACAAGAAAAATTGTATGAAAAGAATAATACTATTTTACCAGAGTATTCAAATTTCTTTAATGGCTTAAGGAAAATGAAAAGCAATTATTAAGAATTAAGAACAGCATATCTGGTTATTAGTAGGGTTAGAAATTTTTGGCATGGCGTCAAACAAAACTGGATCGCCAAGGCCGATTTTTTTAATGACATATTTTTTTCTATCAGGGACAGAAGCTCTTACCTCCAAACGCGATAATCTGAGCTACTTAACCTCGACTATCCTGGGCATATTAGTATGAAAATAATATTAAATATTATTATTAATATAAAAATATTAATGCTGGGATGGGACTTCCAGAGATTCGTGAATCAGATTTGAGAACTATTTGAAAAAAATATTCATGCTAATACGGGATGGGCTTTTTATTATTTTTGAAACATTTGATTATAAATATTTGATTATTGATATTATTGATATCCTAAGCCTAAGCCTCAACAATTTTTAAGCGGTCATACATAACTGCGAAAAACTATCTATGCTTTGCTTTTATCATATATTTTTATCTGACTGGTTATCTAATTTTTTAAATTAACTCTGAAAGATGTGAAATTCGGTTGTTATTTAAAAACTGACCGAACTTTTATCGAAATCATAGTCGAGCTTATACGAAAGTCTTCCAAGGAATTTCTTCTCTTCCTCTTTCTTTTTGGTGGTTGGCAATGTTTTGATAGCATTTTGTTCAGCTTAAAAACAAAAAAGATTTGAACTGTTTGGGGAATGGGCATCTGTCATTATTTTAGGCAAAAGAAATTTCAATTTAAGCAGAAAAAATCATACAATGTTTGGAAAGGATATCAATCACTCTAGAACTCGGCTTTTTATTACTTAATTGAACTTAATGAATTCTTATGTAAAAGTTGTAAAAAAATTGTTTTATGAAAGCTGTTCATTATTCTTACTATCTTACTTTCTTGTTTTAAATCTTATTACCGTTTTATTTCGCTTTTTTTTATTTTATCAGTCAGTCTTCTTTGATAAAGATGTTTTTCGCAAATAAATTTAGGAATTCAATTTAGCAACATTTTATTATTTCCCTAAAATCCAAAGTATTAAGGTCAGCTTTTTGGACAGTCATGAATTATGATTACGTGCTCTGGATTTTTTTGATGGAACTACCACTCAATATTGAAAGAATGAGAGAATCTAGATTATAGGTAACTAAATAATTTTAGAGGATCGATATTAACCAATATTAAAACAATGAAAAACGACAAAACCTCGGTTCCAGCTAAACATGTTCTTACAGTGATACCAGTTTCTTTCTTTCTTATTTTATCAAATGAAATTTGTTTCCATCTTAATAAATATTCATTATTTTATCAAAACATTCATTAACGAAAAAGACGAATGTAAATCATACCACAAGTGCAAAATCCTAACGGCGATAATTTTTGGAAAAAACAATTTTTAAATAAAAAATAGATTTAAAAATAAAAAATTTACGCTAAATAGTAAAAAAAAGAGAAAAAAAAACAGTAACACAATTCTTGAAATATAAAATTATAATAAATAATTATATATAATTATAAAAAAACAATTAGCTAATCATTGAAAAAATCGGTATTATGGTATTTAAAAATGGAAAAAAGTTTAGAGAAAAAAAAAAGATATAAAGGGACAAAGAGCCCTTTACTGATAGAATCAAGTTTTTTTGAAAATGAAACTATGATGATTAAGACAAAGATAAAAGTAAAAATTGGAATATAATCATTTAAAAAAACTGTGATTTTTTTTTCGTTGTAAAATACTGGAAATAATGTGCTGAAATGGCGTTTTTAAAATAATATTATAGAACAGTACTGAAGTAGAAACAACAAATATTTCAAATAAAAGAGATATTTGAGTTTGATTTATAAATTCAATACATTAGATAATCAGGTAATGAAATTTTTTTGATGTTAAGTGAATATCGAGTCCATTTATTGACCACAGTTAATGAATGAAGATAAGAATATTTTGGATTGAACTTGGAAAAAATTAGAATAAACTATGAAAGAAGATGAGGACAAACTTAAAGCTAATTTATATACAGTGATTAATAAGTAAGAAAAAGTAAATAGTTAGCACCCATGGATTTTAGTTAGACTTTTTCAACTGACCATAAGTAGGATGAGATGATTTTGCCAAAGGTAACATAGGAAACAAAAATTAGAATTACCAGCATTTCGGTATGTTAATTCATATAGAAAAATCATTTTAAGAATTGCATGAGGAGTCTGATTTGCACTATTTTTTCTCAATATCTCAATTTTACAGGATCACCATATAAGCTGTATGAGCTATAGAAAATAGAAAATAAATAGCAAAGTGGATATGAAAAAAATTAACTCACTTCTTGTGATATTCTAGGTTTCTCACATCTGCTAAGAATTAAAGGAAATTTCAATTTAATTGGCAATAATTTGGGTTTTTCATTAATTAACCTGTTAATTGCTGAAGCTTTTCATCTGTAAATCATATTCTTAAATCAACTTATAAGATTTTAATAAGATTTGCATAAATTACTATTCTGAATGATAAGCAGCTAAGATTGACCGATTTATAAAATTATTAAGTTTTACTGCGTTAAAAATAATGCAAAAATCCTTTAATAACATGGAATCACTTATTTGAGAGCATATGAAGATGAAAAATTGAATCAATGCAAGTTGTCTTTGCAAAAAAGATTTATAAAAAAAATGTAATTCGATGAATTAAAATGGTTTGCATGATGAGTACAATTATGTTACGGTTACGCAATATGAATATGTTGAACAATCACATAGACCATTGGAACTGATCCCTCTAGATTTATGTCATTTTCTAACAGCTCTCACCATTACTAGTTAGGCTGACTCTAACGGCTAGAAGGGGCTTCTAAGAGGCGTAATCTGGTGTCATCGTCGATAGCAATGGAAGCCATTCCTTTTTCCATCGTCTAGGTCCGTATATTGCTGGTCCACCTATACGCTCAAAATCTTTCCTGACAGTATCAGTCCAGGTCTTAATTGGCCCACCGCGCTTTTGACGGCACCCATCACAGGATTTAGCAAATATGCGTCAACTCCTGTGGTGAACGATGGAGAACGTGGCCTAACCAGCGAAGACGACGCTCTGCGATAACATTATTAATGCAAATGGTATGTGAACAAAGATGGATGCGATTATGTAATATTTCATCCGCTTGATGGATCCATAAAATGTACCCTAGAGAAGAATGGTTAAAAGCAGATAACTTCTTAATATCCTCCACTCTCATTGGCCATATAGAGCAGAGCTATATAGCAAGATCGAATGAATCACGGCTATGTAGGTGCGGACTTTCGCTTTTATGGTAATTTCACGATGGCTCCATAAGGGTTTCGTCAACCGGAAGAAAGCATTTCTAGCTGTCGCTATCCGGATTACGATTTCATCCTTTGCCTGGCCATTTGGTATTATAGTGCACCCAAGGTATTTAAAATCGCGCACTTCCTCAACCGGGAAAGAATTTATAAAAAAAGGCATTTTATTAGCTTCTTGCAGATAAGATGAAAAGACACTTTCGTTTTATTTACATTGACCTGGGTCCGATTCTTGCCGCAGTTTTTGACACGTTATTTAGCATTATTTGCATTTCGTCATAACTGTCAACAAAAAGGACTACATCATCAGCTCTGGACTGATTTGGACACTTCTTGAATGCCGACAAGCGGTATCTATTAGACAAAATCTTGACGGACACCAGTTCTTATTTCGAAGGAGTCCGTCAGTTTCCCATATACATAAACCTGTACCGACGTACGCTCATAAAATGCCTTATGAGTAGAATGATCCTCTCTGGAACACCGTCACATTCCATACCCTCCAAAGCGCTCTATCAATTGAATCAAAGGCAGCCGCAAAGTCGATGGAACACGTGACAGTGGGTTGCATATATCTGAAGCAATGTTCCAACACCCTTCCTAACGTGAATATCTGGTTAGCACAACCGCGTCTCGGCCTGAGTCCAGCTTGATTAGGACGCATTCCATACTTCCATAAGTCTATTGAGTAACAGGGAAAAAATTTTTCGCCTAGTAGGCTAATTCCTCGATAATTGTCGCAGTATATCCAATAACCTTTCTTGAGAATTGGGAGCAGAATTGCTTTGCTCCCATCATCTGGTAATATTTCTTTTCTTCAATACTAAAGAATACATTCGTTGCGTTACAAAGGTCGATGGATTGGAATAATTCAGCCCGAAGCCTGAAGACGATCTTCTCCCGGAATCTTAAGTTAATGGATAGCGAAAATTATCCCTTCTTCTGTTGGAGGCTTGCAATTGCAAGCGTGTTTCGCCGAACGTGTCAGTTATATCAGGCACACTTTATGGTCATGTTTGGTCTCAAAGAATTTTTTCCTTCCTATGATGCAGTCCTTAATACTCGTGATCAGCAAGCCATTGCTGTCACTTACCATTTCACTGATGGTTCCGCGAGTCGTAGTTGCTTTATGAAGAAAGCGGAATTGTTTCTTATTATCGCCTAATCGTGTCGCCGTCTCCATTCTCAAAATTAATTCACTCCAATAGTGATTTTTGCCCCGCTGCTTTACTTCTTTCGCTGCAAATCTTCGAAACATCGGGCAGTCAGCTTCACCTCACATTCGTGGTTTGATATCTTTTTCAGACAGTTGTACAGTTACTCCCGATACCCAACTAGTGCACTTCCTACCAGTATGTACAAGTGTGAAAATGGTTGACTTTCGGAGACATTCCTTTATTTTGGACCAGTATTCATTTGCCATTCCAGAAAAATCATTGATATTTGTATCATTGAGAAGCTATTAATTCGGTTTGAAATGCGTTCACTGTCCCCGAATTTTTTAGTTTGAGATTGTTGAAAGGTCTTGGGAGATGCTGTTTTCTGCGAGTTGTCAATTTTATGCGGATCTTGGCTCGAACCATAACACGGTCAGACCCATGAATATTGCCAATTTCAGCACAGCGACAGGAACGATTAGTGCAGAATTCTTCCAGACGACGACTGACTAAGATGTAATCGATCTGGTGGAAGTGTTGGTTATCCGGGGAATTCCACGTGACTAGATGTCTTCTGTGAAGCCGAAAGCAAGTAATAAAGAGTTCATGGTCTTCGGTATAACGAAGAAAGCGTTTGCCATTGGCGCATCGGTGTTGCCAATTGCAAAGGTCACTGCAGCGGTGTAATGACTTATGCACGGATTCCAGTCTCCCCCCAATATGACCATGTCATGTTTCGGTAGAGACTTTGAAGTTCCGCATAGAACTTATCTTTATCACGGTCATCTGCTGAAAAAGTTGGAGCATAGTCACTGACGACCGAGATATTGCAGAACTTACTTTTAAAGCTGGGCATAGGCCATACGATCCATACCGCTTACCACTCAATCAAAGCTGAATGGGCCTTTTCAGAAATGACAATTGCTAAGCCATTTCGTCCCGAGTTATCCAAAGCACCAAAATGATATAACCAATACCTCTGGTCCAAGCCAGGATTAGTAATCAATCGAGACCCGAAGTGAGGAATGCAGAACTGTGACAAGCAAGCGACATCCGCACGATATTTAGAAAGGGTGTGTGATTGCTTGACTTGCAATATCTATAAGCCTTCCACGCTGTTACAGATAATACCTAACAGGTTTCGAGCAATTACTCTGGCTTGCTAGCATATTTTATTTATTGGCCC